AAAATATAAAAGTCGTATCAGCAACATTCGAAATATTTATCGAATCTATTGCTATTTATAGCCCTAATATACGAAAGTTATTGGTTCTATTCCAACCATTGGTTGTTTATCTGATCTGATATTTGCGTACACCATATAAAGCGGTATTTTCTAGAAAATCCAAAGTTATTTTCTACATGACCTCCTACTGTAGATAAAATCTACACATCTCTTACGACACCTTCGGTGGGCCGTAAATATGTAAATGAATTGGCGAATTTACGCTCGAGTTTTTGACATAAGTATCCGTCGCGCTATGATAATTTAACTAGAAATGCATATAATATGTACATGCCAATAAAAATAAAGGACACAAATCCAACAAGATTATATGACAATAGATCCACCACCGCTGGATAGTGCAAAACTTCCGACATCGAATTAAAATTAAAACCACTATAACACTTATTATAGTGTACACATATCATATAGATTTTCCACGGACATATGATCATTGCAAAATCTCAGAAAATATTTATTTTTTTGAATTTTTTTTTTTTAAATTTCAGAATCTCTTATTTTTAGGGGTCAGCTGACTAAATAATTTTGATTGTAACCAAAATTCCAAAAATAAACAGACCATATTTCATAAATAATAGTTTCAATACATTGTGGTGTAGGAAACTTTTGAGTTTTGCCATTCCCTTGACAAGATATTCTACCCTTCAGTTTAGGTAGCTTGATAGTGGCGGACTGATGAAAAATCATTAGTTTGTGGCATTTAAATAGTGTTCCACAACTTAAGATTTGACAATTTTAAACTTCAACAACGAAATTTATTTTAACTAAAACGTTATTTATACTTATGAAATTTTTAATATAGTTTAATATTTGAAAATGAAATCAAAAATAGGTATTCGGTTCACCTCCAAAATTAAGAGTGACAAAAAAATTTAGTAAAGTAACGTTTTAAAACTACTTGTTCCTTAAATTGTAAAAAAAAAAAAAGAAACAACTATTTTGAGTTAATAATTTCTAAAATATCACAATGATTATATCTTCATAGCGACGTGGTACACTGTGTATATCAACTTAATGAACTAAACTCGTCATAGTTTTTGCACGTATTTGGTGTAGTATAATTTAAACTGTTGTATTTTACGTTTCAAAGAATTTATATTAAAATATCCGAAGGAAAAGAGAACGCACGGCGGTCGCGGTCACGCGTTTCTTCGGTTACACATGCGCTTAATAACGATTATACACTCGTCGTCGAAAATTTAAATATTAATAATTGGAGGCATCTATATCTTATTTCTTCGAGTAATCCGCAATAATATTTTAATTTAATAAATAATTTCGACCAACGGAGTATGTTTTGACACGCTTTGCCTGTGTACAGTATTGAACGGAAATGTACTCGGTAAAATATCAGCTTTTTTAGTAGTCCTCCCATAAAGTAACATATATTACCTACTCCAAGGTATAGCCCCTATTTCATATGCATAGTATACACGCTTTCACGTATCCACGTGTTTTAGTTTTTTTAATATTTACTTCATAATTAGTTTGTAGTTTATTGTACATCATATTATATACTTGTAATTGGACTTAGGTCCGTATGTAACATAAAATAAAATAATGTTCAATAATTGTTAAAATTTAATTCACGTTTTCAATCAAATCCATGATATAATATTATTAATTTATAATAATGCACGGGTTCTTCCGTTATATAGTTTAATAGGATGCTACACATGCATTTTGTTGTATTCGTCTTAACGAGCTCACGACATAACCAATGTTGGATTTTTATCGATATTTTAATTTTTAAATGATATACAAACATTTTTAAATTGTGTTATTTAGGACGCATAAAATCACTGTTTGATTTTCAATTCTCTATAGTATTAAAACTAACAGCACAAATTTGGTACTATTAAACGTTGTTTAGAGATGCCTTTTGTTTGTAAGACGGGAACAAAAAATGCCCGTGAGCGAAATCATAAATGTATTATCTTCTTCGAGTACTAGAAAATAATCTATATATAATCTATCTATTTAATGTTTCGCTTTAGAAAAAACGACGTTTTCTTGTTCGTAACAACCAAATAAAATATAAATTACTGGTTAAATTCTCCATCCATGTAGTAAACCTTAAAAAGACAAAAACAAAGAGACAAATCAATTTTTGAATTATAAGTCCAAATACTTTTTGGGACACAGCTTAATTAGTATCCTTGAAAATATACTTTACCTAGATATTTATAAAATAAAAAAAAAGATCTTATACTGGAAACAGATTTGCCTCTGTTGTAGGTGAGAATTTGTAGAATTAAGATATATACAATTATTTAATTTATATTTGATATCAATGATAATCCTTTGCAAACGAAAAACGATTCAGAGCGAAGTTCGGTTACACATGTAGATAAAGGAATTTCAACGTCATAAATTTGTTATGTATATCATATATATTTTTCGTCTTTTTCTGATTTTCCTAATTGTTATGAAAAATACTCGAAAAATAAAAAAACAGCTTTCTTTTAAATTGAAATTACAACAAAAAATACCTTTTATTGTTTTTCTATTGAAGCAATATTTCTGTTTGAAAACATAGTTTTCAAAAAATAAAATCAATGAAATCAGTAATGCCGTGGCAACGTCAGTAATATTTGTTTTTTTCCGATAATTTTTCCCGGTTTTCCTCAATAATTATGAAAACCTCATTTAAAATCAAATAATGACTTTCTTTATGTACCAACTAAATAGAATTTACTTTCTAAAAATATGCTACAATTTTTACATTAGAACAAGATGTCTAGAAGAATAGTGTTTCACAAAAACAAAAAAAAAAAAAAAACATAAATCATAGTAAAACCAATAGATTTATCACTACGCTCCATAGGCGCAACTAGAGGGCCGTTATGGAATCTATAGTAAACCCGAAAAAATCTAATGAGCTTTTTCATAGTAGTTACAAAATATTTATCCTCGCATTTCATAGTTAATAAGTAGTACAAAATACAAATTTCTTACAGAAAATGCATGTGTATACCTAAAAATAATAATGTTAAAATATTTATGATAAATTTGTATGTACACAATTGTCAATGAAATGTATGTAAGAGTCGTGTAAAGATGAATGAGTCTTTGATGTGTCCATAATTGTATTACCTCGAAAGTTGGTTTTCTAGTTGCACCTATGATACCTACCTTCTGAATTTAAAAAATAATGATAAATTATTTAATTTCCAAAATATACCATTAAATATTAGTATATTTGACCAACTAAAGACACACAAATCTATAAGAAGTTGTAGATAATACCTTTAAGACGTTTTTTTATACAACTGACATCGGCATCAGTGAATACGTGACGTCACAGTGCTGTAACAAAGAGAGTCTTAAAAGTATTGTCTCTACTCCTTATTAGAGCTTTTTGTATTAAATCGGTTATATTTTAATCAAGTATGTTTTTGAATTAGGTTTTTTTAGATTCAGAGCGAAGTGTAGCTTTTATTTTTATAAAGATGTGTGTGTTTTTTTCTTCAGAAAAAAGTTAACATTTTTCATGCTGTGCTTTAAAAAATGCGGAATTTTACGCGATGGTCCTTTATTTGAATTATTTATTAAAATGTTCAGCATTTCGCATCCTTTTGGTCCTTTTGTTTTTTTTTTTATGATTTCTGTATTTTTTTTTTTTAAAGGTTTTTAGAATTTTATCTGTTTATTATTAATATCTAAAATAACTATACCTCATATCTTATATACCTTAATACCAACCTTAATATACTAACTTCACTTATGGTCACTTTTTTCCACCCATAAAATTTATCGATTTGGTAACAATATATTATTAGGATTTTTTTCGAAGCTTGTGATCAGATTTTAATACAATTTAAATAGAACAATCTCGGAACGTAAAAGTACACACCTATTTTCCCAAAAAAAAAAACCTGAAAAAAATCCTAATTGATGTATTATATGCAAAAAAAAATGCCATTATTTTAGTATTATAAAAATTTATTTTTATTTTATTGAAAGGATATTGAATTTGTCAAAAAACGTTTTGAAATTGAATTGTACAGCTTTTTTATTTTTAAAATTGCATTAAACTTTAAAAACTTTAAATCGTGAGTTTTTTCAGTATAGGTTTAATGGAATTTTTGAAAAAAAAAAACATTTCGAACATATTTTTAAAACTATCAGATTTTTATACGAAAATGATATATATATATATATATATATTATAGAAAATGATGTATTATATATTATGTTCGAGATTACTTTGTAAAATCATGAGTACAACAGCGATACGAAATAACTTAAAAAATTAAAATTTTATTCAGACATCAGAATACGAATAAATAATTTCGGAGTTATTAACGGTTCGATCAATCGTACATATTTTTAATGTCTCTAAAAACTTATAATATTATATTTTATCATTGATTTTTTATTTGAGTAAAACTTTTTTTATTTTAAGTTTTAAACAATATATAGTTAGTGAATTAGGGACTTGCATAACAAATAATGTAATTCTCTCTCGTGTGCTTTACAGGAGACCTTAAGCATTCGTATGTTAAACATTATAAAATCAAAAAAAAAAAACAAATAAATAGATTTTATTATAAATGTTTATAATTCAGCATATTTTCTGCGATTTATTAATTTAAAAAATAATATACATTTAGCATAGGTAGTGTTTTAAAATTCTTTTTTTCGTTTGTATTAATTTAATGGAGAAAAACAAATATTATATCAATATTATTTTATTCTGCAATTAATGTTCTTGTATACAATCTATACCGATTCAATCAATGACTGTACGCTTATTATAATAAATAAACACCCAGTGGTTTAATTTTTTTTTTTTCAAACACAATTAATAACACTACACAACGATGTTTACCGTGTAAAAATAACACGTGATTTAATATAGGTAATATTATTTTAGATGACAAATCGAACTATATAATTGAATTAAACACAATAATTACTCTACATTAAAAGACCTAATGGAAACAGCAATTGGCGATGTTAAAATAGTTTTAGGTGATTATAACGCTAAAATCGGCAAGGTTACTCTGTACAGCGCTGTGTCTGAGACACATAGCCTACATGAAATTTCGAATGACAACGGTATGAAGCTGATAAATTTTGCAATAGGAAAAGGAGTATGTGTAAAAAGCACTATGTTTCCACGCAAGTAGATTTATAGTACACTTGGGTATCGCCTGATGGAAAACAAGAATCAGATAGACCACGTTCTGGTAAATGAGAAGTTCAAAAATTGAATTACTAATGTTCGAACATTACATGGGGTAGACTCTGATTCTGATAATTTACTAGTGGGTTTTTGGACACGAATAAACCTAAAAGAGCACAATAAATGTAATGCAACATCCATGAGAAGGTATAACGTGGAGAAATTGGAAGCTAAGAGGATTCTCAGGGATTATAACAGCACAGCCAAGTTGATTTTTGAAAAGAAGCAGATAAAACATACCAGTGATGTGAATGAAATATGGAATAAAGTCAAAGATACTATAGAAGCAGCAACGACGGGAATAATAGGAACAAAAAGTAATGTGTCAAAATTTTAGTTCAATAATATATGTGAAGAAGCACTACATATAAGAAAAGCTGCTAGTGAAGAATTGTTAAAGGATACGAACAATGAGACAAGGAGAACAAGGTTCATCACGCGACGAAAGAAATCAAATAACATTTTAAAATGTGAAAAAAGAAAATTTGTACGTAAGTTGCTAGAAAGGACAGTATAAGATTTTAAGGAAAATAAAACTTGTGATATGTAAAAGACTATTAAGAATTTAAATGGGAATTTCATAAGAAACGAACGTTTTATTAAAGATAGTAATGGATCTTTGATCCAGATTTACAGATGGAGATATAGCCAAAAAACGGAAGAAATACATTGAATAGCTACTGAACTGCGAGGAACCAGAAGAATTGTTCACGTTTGACTTAGGAAATATAAACGACCAAGAATGCCTAGTCTACTCTAGCCAACTCTAGAAGAAATAGACTTAAAATAAAAAATCTGAAAAAAAATAAGTCTCCAGGCGAAGATGGTTTCCAGACTGAATTGCTTAAAAAAGAGGAGGATGTGACATAATGGATCTGGCAAGTGATTAAAAGGTTTGAATAACAGAATAATTACCAGGCGATTGAAAAACGTCTCTTATTTGCCCAATACACATAAAAAGGAGCTAAACAAGACCGCAATAATTATAGAAGAATTGCCCTATTGAATGTGGCGTACAAATTTCTCTCAGACAGTATTCTAAGAAGAGTAAAGGAAAGGTCAGAGCAGACAATTGGTGAGTATCAAAGTAGTTTTAGACTAGGGAAGTCAACGACGACCAAATATTTATTATTAGACAGCTATACCAAAAAACATGGGAATTCGATAAAGAAGGGATAAATACAATATTGACTTCAAAAAAGCATACGAAAATATTCATAAATATTTTGAAAGAATTTGATTTCTCTTAGAAATTGGTCAATCTAGTCTCAATCAGCATCATGGAAAGCGCAGTCAAAATAAAAGTCGGAAATATGAAGTCAGATACAGTTACAGTGAAATCTGGCCTTAGACAGGGTAATTCCATCTCATCTATTCTCTTCAATTTGGTTTTAGAAAAAGTAATATGGGAGATGAAAATCGAACCCCACAAAGGAATAAAACTCCGGAACTCGGTTATTCCCTTATTGGCATACGCCGATGACATAGTGCTGATGGACGAATCTTAAGATGGAGTAAAACGGTTCTGTGAAAGACTTAATAACGTAACACAGAAAGTAGGACTACAAATTAATGAACAAAAAACTGAATATCTGGTTATAGGAAGACAAAATTGGATGGATAACGTATTGAAGGTAGATCATTTTAAATTTAAGAAATTTAATTCTTTCAAATATCTTGACTCAATTGTGAGTGAAAAAAATGATATCACCAAAGAAGTAGCCGCGAGAATCCAAGCAGGAAACAGGATTTATTATGGTCTGTTGAATCTGGTTCAAGGTTATTATCAAGAGAAATCAAAAGACGTTTGTATACCAGTGATATTGTATGGATCAGAAACCTGGGCATTAAGGAAATCAGATAAAATAATTTCTTAATATTAGAAAGGAAAATATAACGGAAGATCTTCGGTCCAATAAAAGATGACATCACTGGAGAGTGGAGAAAAGGGAAAAACAGAGAGCTACAAGAAATGTTTATTGACAATAACATAGCAGAGACAATCGAGAAAAGTAGGTTGTGATGGGCAGGACATGCAATGCGGAGCCAGAATTCTCTACTAAGAATGGTGCTGGAACAGAATTCGGTAGGAAAAAGACCCTTGGAAAGATCAAAATTGAGATGGGAAGATATAATTTAGAGAGATGTAGAAGTCTTAGGAAGTGAAGCAAACTGGAAGGATTTGTTGATGAATAGAGATGGCTGGAGAATTGGTTGTGAGACGGTTAGGTACGGTCCGAGCGGCCGAATTAAAATAATTTTCACTAGAAAGGTACTTTAGAGAGGTCATTTTTGAATTTTCCCAGTAAATGTAAAAAACAAGGATAAAACATAGGAAAACAGGAAAAATTGGTACAATGTTAAACAAATATTATTAAAGAAAATATGTAAAGTCTATTTATTTTACTATAAAATTACATATATATTATTGTTAAAGTATTACTAGAAACTCAATACATATTTATAAAAAAACCTGCTCCTCATCGAGGCCCTGTTGTGTATATGAATACTTTGTTATTATTTCATTAAAAGTGAAAAAATATTATGATACATATAAATTGTAACAAAGTAAATAATATTTTTTACGTGATAAATAATTTAGATATACAATTATTTTCGGGAATCCTAATTGTTGTAATTTTACTTTGAGTTACTATACACCCGTCTGTTAAATAATGCAAGATCACTAGTCGATAATTTATAACACATTATTACAGTTTACACACCACCAAACTCTGAATTGCTAGTGTTTATCCTCTATTTAAAAGTTAGTTTATCGACAGAAATTAAGTTCAAACGGAATCATTATACACAAAGTTTATACAGACTATTATATTGTATAATATGTATTTTGTGAATTACATGAGTAAATGTTACGGTCAAAGTCCATGTTTGGCCAATAACTGTAGAATTTATTTTATTAAGAGAATTCGAAACTGATATTTTCTTTTTTTTTTTTTATTTCTATACATAGAATAGCAAACCATTTCGGTATGTGAGCACGCGAAATAAAATTATTTATTATTAATTATTATTAATTATTTATTTATTAATTATTATTATTTTTTTAGAAAATCCATTAATTATACTAAATTTGAATAGTTCTATTTTTTTATTTTTAAAAACATTGATCAATGAATTTTTTTTTATCTCAAACTAAGTGCTGATTAGAAAATATGATATTTTTTTTTATCGCTTTCTTTATATTACGCTTTCGCTTACCGAAAGGGAAATTTATCCTTCAGTGTATATTTCAATACCCCCTGATATACGTGTATAAATAATTGAATTGAAATATAAAATTGATCTTACAGAACAAGGTAAGTTGATTGTTATAGCTTTTAAAATGTATTTGTACAAATTATTTAATTTCGAATCTGGAAATTTAACGATTTTTCTATATTTATTAAGTATAAAAGCGTATAATTTATTATCAATCACTTTTAACACTTTTTTACAGTATACATAATCTATAATATAATTTTCGAGTTTTCCAGATCTATAAGAACTGTTTGCGGAAATTTGCGGAAGTGTTGGTTTTATAAGATAATATACTCTTTAAATTTATGTAGCGTTATAATTTTTATTTTTTATCAAAAATTTGTAATTTTCGCACTATCCTATAAAATTCAACACGTTATTATAATCACCATATTATATTTCTATTTTATCTGTATTTTATTGTGTTATTATTCTTACTTTTTTTCTATTTATTTTTTAACGTGTATAATATATTACAACATTATTATTTTGTAGGGATTAGTATTGTATCGAAGAATCAAAATAAAACAAATTTGACTTATGGCGATTTATTTGAACTGTTATAACAAAGAGGATTATTAATGCCAACTAGTAATGAATCCAGAAAATATTTAATTGAATTAATATATAAAAAATATTTTAAAGAAAATGATAATATTTATAACAATAATAAAATCAAAAAAAAACTCTATATTGTTTGTATGATTTTAAAGAAAAAATGAATTAAAAATAATAGACATCATAACACATTTGTTAAAAAGTGAAACCAATGGCTTAAAAATATTTTTTATAATTATTCATCTAAAAATTAAATTAAAAATATTAAACATCCCACTAAATTGTTTAGTGAATGCTCTGTAAGGACAAAAAAAAGTACAGTTCCTTGTAAAAACATTTACTTCCCTCGAAATATCTTTGACTATGTCAATTAAGAACACAAATCTTCTCCATACGCTTTTGATCGAGTTATAGCATGACTTTGAAATATACGTAATTTGAATTTAGGGCCCTTTAAATCATATAAATTGATATAAAAAATACAAATAATAAAAAACTTTAAAAATACCCCCTTCACAGTCTCCTAACTAACAAATCAATTGAAAAACGAATGTGAAATTTGGATTCAGGGTCCTCAAACTAATAGAATTGGTGTATTACATTATCATATGAGTTAAAATTTAAGCGTAATTAATTTTGGAAAGCTAAATTACGATTCAAACCACTGTGCGCCTGTTTAAAGTTATCGCTGGTATATTTTTTATATTTTCCCCAAAAATAGAGATTACCTCACTGTATATTGTGTGTTTTATTGTATACATAATTTCTCCGCTACTTTTGGACACAATTGACGGCTTCCTGTGAATCAAATGTGCTTATACTCCGGGAATTAGAGTTGTTTACAGGTGGTCTAAAATGCTAAAACTTACGGTTGAATTTCAATATAAATTTCACTATATTGCAGTGTAAGGAGGGATTTTTTTTAGCTTTATACGCAGCCACAGACCTCCCGATTAAAACCAGATCAATGAGTAAGGCCATAGTAGGGTTAAAGTATCAAGGATTTCAACTTCGTCCCCTATCATATTTATGCTGAAATTTCGTGTTTTCATAACAAATATCACCGGATTTCAAAAACCCATACATACTATATAATATTAAAAAACTCGGGTAATCATAAATATTTCAAAAAAAAAAAAAAAATAATATTATCGGGGGAATGTTCGAATCTAGTGACGGAGCTCTGCTGCTCACTGGTGTTTTTATTTGTAATTATTGTTATTAGTAGGTACCTAAATATTGTAAAATATATTGACATTCACAGCTTTCAGATTTTTTATAAATACTTTAAAGATTATATTATAGGTAAATAAAAATAATTATAATAATAATTCTGTGTTTTACATTACTTTTATCAACCAGTTTTTGACTAAAAATTATTTTTAATTGATACATGGCATTATCGATTTTGAATATATATAAGTATATTTTTTTTTTTTCAAAATCCAATTATATTGAAATGAGAGACAAAAATTAATTAGTTGTTTAAATATTGTGTTTGCAACTTTAAAAAATGACCGTGTGTAAATAATGTAACGAAAATGCTTGTGGCAAAAAGTCCAAAATTCTACTCAATCAATAATTTATAAGACTTTAAGTAGACCTACGTCTTTATTATTATAGAGTATCTATTATAATGGAAGAAATATATTTTACGTAAATTATTTCATTAATTTTATTTTAATACGGATTTATTTAGGTTATGTAGTATGGGTGTACGTCTTCTGCAGGGTGAGACATAAAAAGAAAGTCGACGGTTGGGAAGGGGGTAAGGTATTAGATTTTTGGTCAATGATACGTGACTACGTGACATGACTTTTTATGTGCTTATATACACAGGTATTATACGCGTCGACGAAAAGAGCATTTTAAATCGCATTTGGAAAAAGTAAAAATACGACCAAATACAAACGACTCGAGGCCGAATGCGAGAAACGGAAGAATGGACACGCACGGAAAAAAAATAATAATAATAGAATAGGTAGGTGCGCCGATGCGTCGTCTTCGTCGACGAATAAAGAGTGCAGAAATAGTGAAACTCCGGCAAAACTTTAATAAAGCCCCAATATGAAAGTTTTGAGTAATTTCTCAAAAACGGTGGGAGAGAAAGAGAGGACACGAGTGGCATTGGTTGGCTGGAAAAGCAAGACTTTACGACGACTAGGACGCGCCGGCGACGACGACGGTCCCGTACTGCAATATTGAAACGCCTCGGCTAATAGGAAAAGTTATGGCCACGTTATTGGGAGATGTCCTTTAATAGCTCCAAAGTTTCTCTTTTTTTTTTTTACTTTATTTCTTTTCTCGCGGGTGCGCGCGCGTGTGTTTGTATGTGTGTATAGTATATAGGTGTGAACGTATACGAGTGTGCGTTGTTCGTGTACACCGACCACCGCCGTCTCCCAACCCCATATTGTGTATGTACACTTGATACTACTCCGAGAAAAAGGAAAAAATAAAACTTTTCTCTTTGAATAAAAACACGATATCTTCATTGCTCCGCACCTCTCGCCATTAGTTTATTATGACATGACACGATACTCGAAACGTAAACATTTTTTTTTTTTTTTAAACTAAATACTCCCTTTACTATACTATATTATATTATACAGGTATAACACCCGGCTCACGACAAGTGGTGGAAGTCGAACGTTTCGTCAAAATTGTTTTCAAAGAATGTTGTTCTTAC